AGATAGATAGATAGATAGATAGATAGATAGATAGATAGATAGATAGACAGACAGACAGACAGAGACAGACAGGCAGACTAGATAGATAGATAGATAGATAGATAGATAGATAGATAGATAGATAGATAGATAGATAGATAGATAGATAGATAGATAGACAGACAGACAGACAGACAGACAGACAGACAGACGGACTAGATAGATAGATAGATAGATAGATAGATAGATAGATAGATAGATAGATAGATAGATAGACAGAAGAGAGAGATATATGATACAGACTGACAGACAATGACAGATGGTAGATAGACAGATGAAAGATATATGGATGATAGATAGATAAACAGAAAGATGACAAAGAGAGTGGGGGATAGATGAATAAATAAATGATAGATAGATACTGTGTTTCTTAGAAAATAAGACCGGGTCTTATTTTCTTTTGACCCCTGAAAAAAAAAGCTAGGCTGTGTCTTATTTCCCGCCTCCCCCCACACGCCTCGCCTAGCCACTGAGCCACTTCCTTCGTGGCCCAAAAGAGCGAGCGACGTGACCCACACGCCTCGCGCACCCTTGCCTACCTGTTATGGTCATGCCAGCTACTGGTAGCCATCCAGCCGAAAAAGCCTGCCGTCATCCACTCCGGCAAGCCTGGCCACCGGGCTGTGTCTTTTGCGGACGAAGAGTGTGTGGCGAGTGATGTGCCCCACGGCGCCTGAAGTATGTAACAGTTTTTTTGAGTGTTTATGTTTGTCCTGACCTATGTGGCCCAGCGCAGCAAGGAAGATATTTTGCCCTATTGGTAAGGTCCCTATTGCAGATGGTTATAGCCCTGGGTCAAGTGATTCCCTTTTCCAACAGGCAAAGTCAATGTGGAAATCCAAATTGATTGTAAACAACCTTTTCCCAGCCACCACCCAGGTGGCTTAATGGATTTGGGTTAATGGATTAATGGACTTAATGATCTAAAGTGACTTCTATTTTGGCCTACAGAGAAGATGAATTTAAAAAGAAAGAATTCAGTGGAATTCAAGAAAGGAATTGTGGAATTCAAGGAAGGAATCCTGGAAGATTCTCAGGGCAAGAATCTGACAGGTTTCTGCAAAGAGAAAAAGTTGGATCTCTGTGGCTGGGGATGGTGGCTGGTATTCGGCATGCAGTTGTTAAGTTACAAAAGGGTTGTTTATCATTAAAGTCTTAACACTTATCATTAAGTCCATCAGTCTATTATCCCAGTCCATTAAGCCACCTGGGTGGTGGCTGGGAAAGGGTTGTTTACAATCAATTTGGATTTCCCCATTGACTTTGCCTATCAGGAGGTTGGAAAAGGGGATCACTCGACCCACGGCTATAACCATCTGCAATAAGGACCTTTTTTTGCAAAAGGTCTTCCTTGCTGCGCTGGGCCACATGGGTCAGAACAAACATAAACACTCAAAAAAATGTTATGTACTTCAGGCACCGTGGGGTGCGTCGTTCGCCCACACACTCTTTGTCCGCAAAAGAAGCAGCCCGGTGCCCAGGCTTGCAGGAGTGGACAAAGGCAGGCTTTTTCGGCTAGGCAGCTATCGGTAGCTGGCATAATCATTACAGGTAGGCGAGGGTGCACAAGGCACGTGGATCGCTCCTTTCAGCCGCGAAAGAAGCGGCTTGGTGGCCAGTTGAGGTGTGTGGGGTGAATGGGGCAAGTTCCTCCTCACCTCATGTTGTCCACACTGCAAGCGATATGAGAAAATGGTGGGGACCAGCCACGCATGTGCTTAAATAGGGCCAAATTTTGTGGGCAGGGCTTCATTTTAACACATGCACACAAAACAGTGCTGAGCCTTCTTTTGGGGTAGGTTGTGTTTTAGGGGAAACATGATAGACAGACAGATAGGCAGACATGTAGACAGACAGGTGAAAGATAGATGGATGATAGAAACAGAATAGATAGATAGATAGATAGATAGATAGATAGATAGATAGATAGATA